AGGGAGAAAGGGAGAAAGGGAGAAAGGAGAAAGGGAGAAGGGAGGGAGAAAGGGAGGGAGAAAGGGAGAAAGGGAGGGAGAAAGGGAGGGAGAAAGGGAGGGAGAAAGAGGAGGGAGAAAGAGGAGGGAGCAAGAGGGAGAAAGGGAGGGAGAAAGGGAGTGAGAAAGGGAGGGAGAAGGACAAAAAACGGGGGGGCTGTAAAGCCTGTAACAGACTGTCTCGTCTGATTTCAGCAGCTTTGCATTGATTGGCGGACCCTGATAATAAACGTACACATACAATCTTTCAAGCCAGGTACAGTCAAAATGAGGGTGCATTCTGTTCGGCGGAAGACGGTAGTAATCAATCACGCCGCGCCGGATGGATACTGTATTTGTGTACCTTCTTCTCCCGAATAGAACGTACGGTTTTTTTCGCTCCATAACTGGAAGGAAAAAAAAAAAAAGAAAAAAAAAAGGCGAAGCTTATCATTTGTAGCCTTATGTTATATGGCTTATCTTAATATATAAAAGTACGGATCAAATAATTTATTTTTTTCGTCCTTATACCGTTTCGACGAGATATACATCGATCGCACTACAATGGAGTGAAAGGTGAGCCAAATACAGCCATAACCACCGTACGTTCTATTCGGGGGAAGACGGGTAGAGAGTGATGGACAAAAGAGAGGAGAAAGGACGTCAGCTCACAAAGACGAATCCATCTCAGCAAAAGGCAAACAGAAGGCGGAGAAAGAGAGAAAGAAAAAAAACAGAGAGAGAAAGAGAGAAAGGGAGAAAGGGAGAGAGAGAAAGAGAGGGAGTGGTTGTTGGGAAGTCTGTTTACAAAGCCGGTTTTTTTTCTTAAATAGGAAAATTCCTTGTTTTTTTTCCTTAAATAGGAAAATTCCTTGGATCAGGGTTGTACGGAAACTGATTGACTGAGCTTGTAAGCGAGAGCACGTAAATAAAAGTGAAAACGATTATTTATTTGATTGCGTAATTTTGGATTTTATGCCAAAAATTGATAAAATAAATTTAAAAATTCGTATTCCTTAATATTTTTTGTGAGGCGGGAAAAGGAGCCCGGAACTTTTTGTGATAGGAATGGGGTTCTAGCGTTTTCACCCGAATACAACATACGGTCATTATAGCTGTATTTGGGCCAACTTTGAGTCCAGATACAGAAATAGTGACGGTGCATTGTATTCACCCGAATACAGCATACGGTCATTATAGCTGTATTTGGGCCAACTTTGAGTCTAGATACAGAAATAGTGACGGTGCATTGTATTCACCCGAATACAACATACGGTCATTATAGCTGTATTTGGGCCAACTTTGAGTCTAGATACAGAAATAGTGACGGTGCATTGTATTCGGGTGAAGACGGGTAGGCTCCTGGTGAGAGGCAGGACAACCTGACTCGTCCTTTATTTTGGACTTCTGTTCGGCCTTAGGCACTGGGGCCTGACAATAAATTTTTTTTTTTTTAATGATACGCAAGAGTGTAAAAAAAAAAAAAAAAAAATCATTGTCACCTTCTGGTGATCCTACCTATCCGCAACAACAACAACAACGATAAATTCGTCGATAATAATAATAATAATAATAATAATAATAATAATAATAATAAATACTAACAAGATTACTATAAGTCTATAACAATAATTTTTGGGGTTGTTAATTGATACTAAGCAATAATTATAATAATAAGTTAATTGATATTAAGCAATAACTATAATCGTAATCCGCAATTAATAAAAACCACGTAAAAATACTAAAACAATCCACGTGAAGGCCAAAGAGAGAAGGAAAACAAAACCAAAAAATAAAGATAGAGGGAGAGGAGAAGGGCGGGATCAATCGGGATCCCAACGTCGCAAACGCTCACCAACTGTTACTTTGATATATATATAATCATAGTAAATACTGTAATACAACATTAGTAATACTATTTATAATAGTAAAAAACAAATCAACGTGAAAGCCAAGGAGGGAAGGGAAAAAAAAAACAAAAAAAAACAAAAAAAAACAGGAGAGGAGAAGGGCAGGATCAATCGGGATCCCAACGTCGCAAACGCTCACCGACTGATCGCAACTTGTGCTCAACTATCCACGACCGCAGATCCTGCATCGCAGATCGGGATCCGCTCCCGCTCCCTCCCTCCTTATTTCCCGCCATTTTTAAAAACGACCGCCTTCTCACCAAACGGAATCCTTCAATTCCACGTTCCCTTCTCTTTCACTCCGTTACGGTCAGTTACTCTCCGTTACTCTCCGTTACACACTTACGACTCACTTACAACTCACTTACGCTCCGTTACAACTCAGTTACAACTCAGTTGCGCTCCGTTTAGTTCCGTTAGAGCAAGAAGATACGGTGGAGGGTATATTCCAAGCCAATGAGCTCCAGCCGCTGATTGGACCTATCTCCACTCTCTCTCTTCGACGTACGGATCGATCAATCACGTTCCCTCGTCGTTTCCTCTCCGTTGCGCTCCGTCTAGTTCCGTTACACCGTCATATGACGTTCCACTGTACTTCCCTCTCAGTTTTCTTTTGACACCGCCGTTCTGGTACAGCGCTCTTTCGCCGTTATCCTCCCTCGATGGATCAATCACCTTCGTTATCTGCTGGGCATTCTCTCTCTCTCCGTTACCCTCCGTCTCCCATTCACTCGTCAATCCGTTGCCCTCAGCCTGCTGCTCATTCTCTCTCCGTTACCCTCCGTCTGCAGGTCATTCTCTCTCCGTTACCCTCCGCCGTCTGCAGGTCATTCTCTCTCCGTTACTCTCCGTCTGCAGGTCATTCTCTCTCCGTTACCCTCCGCCGTCTGCAGGTCATTCTCTCTTAACGGTACCCTCCGTCTGCTGCTCACTCTCTCTTAACGGTACCCTCCTTGTCTGCTGGTCATTCGCTCTCCGTTACCCGCCCTCTAGATTCCGTTACAGAAGCGATAGATATGTATTCTTTTTTTTGTTGCCGGAGAGGTGTACATCCCTTCCTTATCGGCAAATTCCAGGACCCCCGAGCTGACAAACCCCCTCCCTTTTCTTCTCCTCCCACCTAAACTCTTCATTCCCTCCTCCTCCTCCTCCTCCGCCTACTTTCCCCCCGTGGCTCCCTCCTCCTCCTCCTCCTCCTCCTTTCCCCCCGCGGCTCCCTCCTCCTCCTACTCCTTTCCCCCCGCGGCTCCCTCCTCCTCCTCCTCCTCCTCCTCCCCCAACCGCGTTCCCTCCTATCCCGCCGGAGTACAGTCCCTATACTCAGAGGGCATAATCACACTACGGTAGGACAGGGGATAAATCACACGAGGACTTTTTTCCACTTCTTTGTGGACGTAGTTGCGGTCAGGTGCATCCACGTCGGCCACGTGTATCCACGCGCGCTGATTCTCAATTCGCCCACGCACAGGTTTCTCTTCGCCTCGCTACAGTCCAAAAGGCCTACCGGTAGTTTCCACTACGAACCATCGGCCAAGATTGCGAATGAATCTGAGCGGGGAATCAGTCCTGATTCATTCACAAAGGTTGGCGGATGGCGAGTAATGAATCTCAACATGGAATCTGTCCTGATGCATTCAATGCTGGCGGATGGCTAGTAGTGCAACTACACCATTAGGCCCCAAATCCTGGTGTCCTAAAAAAAACAAAAAAATCCTGGTGCCGTACGTATTCGCAATTTTCTCCTCTACTGCATCTCTCCACGCGGCAGGTCACCAGCCCACCGCAGTCTTTTTTTTCCTTTTTTTCCATTATTATGGTTTTTTTTCTTTTTTTTAAATGGTTTTGACCGAGTGCAATTTGGTGGTCCTTAGGGCCTCGCTCCAACACCCTCCACATGCACAAACCACAAAAAAAATTGTGTGTGTATCTTTCCATGTTTTCGTTGAAGATTCGATTTCAATTTTTATTTTTTTATTTTCCTTAGAAAAGCTATATTCTTCTCTCAATTTCACCTCACACTACCTACCCGCCACTACTCCTAATTGTAGGCATACGGGGAACCCCGTAGCAGCCAGAACCGTGTTCACGAGAGAACATGCGGGGGCTGCTCCCGACCTGCAGGTGGGCGATACCGGCTAGGGGACAGCCGGTAGCATCAGGGACCATGCCAACAGGACCAATCCCTGTGCCTCCCCTCAGGTCCCCTCCCCTATGAACATCAGCAGACTCTGCTCAATGGCAATCGGGGGATCCAGTGGTCTTGGTGAGCAATGAAGCGACGCCCATAGACGCCGCAAGGGGATGTCACGTCACCGAGATTGGCGGGCTCGTTTTTTTTCTTTTTTTTTTCTTTTTTTTTCTTTTTTTCTTTTTTTCTTTTTTTTTATGGAAAGATACATCGCCATGATTTTTGTCGTTTGTGCATGCCTAGAGTAGTGAGGCCCAGGCTCATTGGTCACGTCATTACCTTCGCCTTCATTGATTTTCTAATCCCTTTTTTTTTTTTTCTCTTCTTTCCCCGTCAGCGGTGCCAGACGGGCAAAGAGAGGCAGTCGCCATCGCTACCGGCAGCCGCTGACGTCAGCACAACTGTAGACATCTGTCTGTCGACGTGTCTTGAGATCAATTTTATTTTTTTTTTTTTGTCTTGAGATCAAAATTCCCCAATACATGTGACTGCTTCTGGGGCCACGACTTGTAGGATCCTTTTTCTCCTGGATAATGGCTGCAGCTGCCAGCAGGGAGGGGGGCTTATCCGAATATGCACCCACCCCTTTTCGGGGCCCTTTTTCTTGAAGACGAAGTACGTTTGGCCCTTCCCTTGCCGAGCCTGGAAACGCCCTGCACCCCCCCCGCAAAAAAAAAAAACGCCTTCTTTTGGCTGCTGCCGGCAGCCATTTTGCTCCACAAGGGCGACCCCTGAAACTGAAACTTGCGGCGCAAGCATGGCCACGTTCGAGAAAAATGGGTGGGAAGCCTACTGGCCGTAGCAGCTGCAAGCAGGGAGGGAGGTGTATCAGAACATGGGGCACTACTGGTACCATCTGTTCCAGAAGATGGGTAAGGGTATGCATGTGACGCGCAACCTCACGCCCTGCGCTGTTTTCCGTTCGGAGTGCTAAGGGTGCGGAAAGGAGGCCCCGAAAAACAGCAAGATGGGGTGTGCCAAGGATTTTTGGAAAATTGAGTGTGGGGATTCAGACGGAACTGAAATCCCCCGTGTTGGTCTGATGAAGTGAGCGATCTGGCGGGTTTCGCCGCACGCGGAATTTGTGACGCGGGGAAGTTTTGAATTCAATCTAAAAAGTACTGTCGGACTTCCCATCGGGCCACGGCTCGTCGTTTGGAGTGGAAGGGAGCGGGCACGTGTTTAGTATCCCGTTTTTGCACTATCTCCCGACGCCGCACGCTACACAATTCTGAATCCGACGTGGACAGTCTCAATCGCGTGGCCCTTTCCTTGTGCTTGTCCTCGTTCCGCGTTCGGTAGTGGAACCCCTTCGATTGGTAGTGATCGAGACGTTGGCAATCACTACACAAAGTGTTAGGCCAATGGGGTGCCACTGCCGACCACGGGATGACGATCAGCTCGTTAAAGGGTAGTAACAGTGAGTATGGTGGAAAATGCGTATCCACAATAACAAACCCAACGCCTACGAACCCAGAACATCGATTTTCAGGAGGGAAATAGTACTGCCCACCAATCTTTGCAACGGCTTCTCGCATGTCCCACTCACAAATTCGCGTCATGTCCTCGTTATACGGGAAGGGGCGAAGAGGGGTTACGGGAGGCTGGCGCCTAGTCGGATTGAGCCCGTTAGTCCACATGGCAAACAATCAGGAGTATCTTAATCATTCATCGTGTGCATGCAACCCTAGCAATCCGATCGGAAAGGCCAGATACAAGAAAACAGAGGGTTCTGAGAAAGAGAAAGGAAAGTTCATGTATGGCGAGATACAGCCACTATTGTTGTACTTGGATCATGTGTCGCATACTCGCAACTTTTCCTTCGAAAATCACAAATCAAAGCATTATGGCATCTCCAAATCCCAACAACATTGCCCCTGCTATCGATTCGCCCTAATCAAGATGGGCTTCGTACCCATTCACTCTCATCTCCCACGCATGCATTCACTGTGGAAGGTGCGAAAAATGACAGTCATGCAACTTTCCCAATAAGGTTGACGACAGAGGAAAAATCATTGGTGATCAATACACGCGCATCCACTGTTCACAAGACAAGAATCCAATAGTTCGGGGGACTACCCAGGAAACTAATGGAAGAGTTCCAAAAGAAATCATTTGAATACAGTCATCACACTCATTCCATCACTCGTCAATCTCTGGCTTATTACATGGAATCATTCACAATCGAAGGAAGAGAGAGAGAGGGAAGAGTAAAAATCGGAGGAGGAATTACACAGAAATCGATGAATGGAAGAAAGTTCGGCTTTACCGCCGCAAAAGTCACACCAAAGAATAGAGTCGCAACCAAGAGGGCGTACTCGCCATTAAATTCCAACACGGCCCCGGGCCAGTCATACACTCAACTCGGATTACTTGTCCGCATTCTGACGCCAACGATCCCGGCCGTCGCGCATCATCAGTCACCACTGCGATCGTCACCCCGCCAACTTAGTCTCGACGTGGCTTGTCCGGATCCCACAGCCTGTAGCGCACCGCCAGCCAGTCTACAGTCAGCTCGTCAGGACTTTCCGACTCGCACCGTACGCATCACCTAGCCACTACTTCCCAGAAGCTGGATGGCGAGTTGAGAGAGAGTTTTACGGGGGCGCCGACATAATTTATAGTTGCGAGAAGGGAGAGAGATGCGGAGAAGGGTGAAGGGTAAGGAGGAGGAGGGCATAGGAGAGTTTGCAAGTAGCCGCCCATCGAAAGCCATGTTGATCCTCCTAACTCGACCTCAACCAATCAGAATCGCCGTGCAATACGAACTTACATGGCGCTTCTCCTTGGTTAAATGGGGAGGGAGGATCGACTGGGTTTTCGAGCGCGGATTTTTAAAGCGGGAAGAAGAGGAGCGCGAAGGATAGCACGAAACGGGTCCAAGATTCAGATGATCAAGAAGAAAAAAAAAAAAAGGCGCGCGCGGAGAAAAGGGAAGGGAAAAGCAATTACGGGGGGCGGGTGCGAGAAAGCGTATGCACGCGAAGAAGGATGGTGAGAGGAACGCAAGGGAGGAAGGAGGAGGGAGCTTGCTCGCATGGCGTCAGTCAGCAAAGAGGGAAATGGGCACCAAAACAGTTGCAGTTTTTCCCAAATCTATGCTAATTCAAAAATTGAAAATACCGCATCCGCGCGCAAACAGGTGCGGAGAATAAAATCTTCCGTCGATCTATATTCATACAAGAGTTTCCCATAGTCTTCAAGGTCGAGGCCGAGAACATTCGCGCACGGAAGTTGGCGCGGTATTCCGATAATTCTGGGATTTCTAACTACCGAGCCAAATTTCAAGTGCGCTCGCTAAGGTGCGCGAAATTCCCATGCATTTTCAATTTAAACAAAAGAAAGAAGGGAGTTGACAGATTTTCGCAAGGTACCTTTAATTAAGCATAGACAGAGAGGGGAGGGGAGAGGGGGGGTCTCGGGGTCGAACTGTACACATTTGGATGCAAAGAAAAACGAGAAAAAGAAAGGGGTCCGGAAGATGGCGCAGGTCCGGAAACTAGTACATCACATATGTGACGCGCAGGGGGTTCCAAAATTATGCGATTTCCTGATTGCATGCTATGGCGGAGAAGGAGAGAGGGGGATGAGAGGATGCATGGGGAACCAAGTGTATCTGGAGAGAGAATGTTCGCATCGAGCAGGTATTTGAGCCAGAGTTCATGTTGACGCCAACTTCAATAATTGCAATTTCTTCGTGAGTCTGCTAGCTCGAGCTGCTGGACCCGTCGAAGGTCGTCCAGGTGACGCCATCATCGTCTGCGGATCCTCCGTGTACTCTGCACCCTGGCCTCGTTATTGAAAATCCGCCCGACGATAGTCGACAAGGAGGGGATGATGGAGGGGTCGGGGCCATTCGGGTGGGAGGGGGGAAAAATAGTCCTCCGCTTCATCACGACGATCGACAAAATGTACGATCCGATGTGCGCGGGGGAAACAATGAGTAGGTTGAGACAGGGAAAGGAGGTAATCGGGATATATGGAGGGAATAGTTCGAAGGACGTTGTCTCTTAGAGACTCATAGTCCTCCATAGCAGGAAAGGTGCCGGAAATGACGCAATACAACTCCATGTGGTTGGACCGCGTCCAGGCGACACTAAAGAGAAGGATATTGAGAGGGAAGGAAGGGGATTGATGAGGGAAGACCGCGCAAAGGAGGCGAGCGGCAAAGTGGTGACAGAAGAAGCCGGTGGCGAAGACACGATAGTTTAGGGGAAACTCGAGATGGGGGAGGGGTCGGAAGCGGAGGAAGTCAAGGGGGCGGCGGCAGACGGGACGAGGACGGTACGTCTGAGCCGGGAGGAGGACGGGGACGAAGCGCGGAGGGGGCGGAAGCGGCCGGAGAAGGTGAGTGAGGGCGGCGGCGCCTACGGGAGGTTGGAGCGCCATCGTGCCGGCTAACAGCGTCCGAGGGGGCGGTGGAATTCAGGGCCGATCCTCCTTGAGCGAGCGGCGGTCCTTGCGAGGCTTCCCGGGGCTCAGGCGCTGATGCCTCTCCTTCTTCCTTGGAAGTCGACTGGGCTTCTGGCTCCTCCTCCGATAGTCCGGTGATGGCTATTCGACCTGGATCGTCGTCTGATGGCAACTCTTCGTTCTCTCGATGTGCTTGCCAAAACTCGTTGAAATCGGAGTTGTCTGGTGCAAGCTCGTCCAAGTCCAAGTAACACCAAGCCGTCGGATCGTGATCGCTCAGATACTGTCCATAATCCTCCATACAATTTGCCCAAATTATGGTTGGCGTCAACTTCCTCTCCAAGGTCTCAGGTCCCGCCTGCTTCGGATCGCTTGGATTATAGGAGATGATGTCCGTCGGTAGATCGTCGACGAGCTGCGACAAAAAGGTGAGGAGCTCGTAGGCGATCGTGGCTCGTCCTCCCTTGGCGATCTCTCCACACAACAATCCCACCAACGTACCATCGGTATCAGATTCCTTCGGCCACAGCTGCGCTAGCACCAACGAGATCTCATGAGAGTGCTCTAGCTCGCGATTGCTATAGTAGCGTGACCAGTGGCACCTCACCGTGAGCATACACACACTAATCGTTGCGAACTCAGACCACTTGCGAACGTAGGCAGAACTGAATGGAAGGGCGGAGGAGGGGCGGATTTCTAGAGTGAGGAGAGGGTTTGCCCAGGATGGCCAGATGATCTGGAGGTCGGAGGGGAGAGAGAAGGTGGAGAAATGATTCATCGGCGCTCGGGGTAGGGATGGAGATGGGGAAGAGGGCGAGGGGTACGGTTAGTAGCGCTGGTCCGAAGAGAGAAGGTGTCGATACAATCGGTCCCCACTACTTGTCGTCCTGGCTGGGCCAGTCGCTGCCGCCAATCAGCTGCCAACTCTTGTCCCCACGGGTAAAGGTCAGTCACCATTGCGTTGTGACGAACCACTTTCTGTAGCGCACGAGTTTCAGCGTGGTTGCAACAAGGGGTCCTAAGCTGGGAAGATTGGGCCGCTTTCGGGAAATCGGGATCGGTGGAAAATTGCATCAGTACCCTTGCTTCTTCGTTTTTTTTGTCACTTCTTCGGGGCTCGGTGTGTCCGGGTACGGCCGGTTGGGAGATTGGTCGGATGGATGTCTGGCGCGCCACCACTCGCGCGATTAATAAATGCTGACGACGTTTCTTTCGGTTCGGGTTCGATCGTTTTGGGCGCGCACATCGCGCGAGAAATTGTTTCGTTCTTTTTTAATTTCCTTTTGAATCTTTTTCGAATTTTGTCGAGCCTCGATGACTCTCGGAATTTTGGACTTTCTTGCTGGAATGTATGCTTTTTGCTTTTTTGCACTAGATAGGAATTTAGGAATTTAGTAATTAGGACTTTTTATGCCGCGCTGCGCCTTTTGTCTACGCGCTTTCTCATGCGGCTGCAACGGTACTCTGATTAGTGGGCGCCCTTAATCGTGTGTGTAACTGCAATTTTGGGCGGGCGCCATTGTAACTGTATCTCTCTTTTTACACTTCGTCTCTCTCGCTCTCCCT